GAAAAAAAAAATGAGACAAACAATGGTTGACAAATAAGACGCTACACTTCGTTCACTGCAACGAATGTACAAAACGACAACGTTGAGAGAATCAAATAGTAAAAATAAAGTTGACACCACAAGCCTATCATAAAAAAGAAATCATGAAAAGTAACCAGAAGAGCACACCAATGACGTGACGACGGAAACACACTTAACGCATACAATTTTAGCGACTAATTGTCAGAAAGGCCACGAATATTTGCATATCCTCTATATCAGAGCCGCCATTTTAACAAGAAAAGCTGAAGAAAAGAACTAATATGTCATCCCAAACTCAATGAGCTGATATATTAAAGTTACAAATAACATAGAAAACATGGATGATAATCATTCACTCTAACACCTCGGATATGTTATGAGACGAAACGAGCACACAACACAACTCCCATCCGTCAACAAAAAACATTCATTCATTCAGTAGCATGTCCCTTGCGGAACCTCGCTGCCATAACAACCCTCCGGAAAACCTTCCTATCATGACAAAAAACATTACCTGATTTAAATCCACAGATGTGATCCTTAGGCGTCGTAAGCGTAGATCCTCAAGTCGATGCGATCCTTAGGCTTCGTACTGCGATCCTTAGGCGTCGTACTGCGATCCTCAGGCGTCGTACTGCGATCCTTAGGCGACGTACTGCGATCCTTAGCCGTCGTACTGCGAACAGGAACCTAGTAGTAATGATGCGAAACTCAAGCATCCACTGCCGAACTCCGTTGAAGAATGTCAATTACGGCATAAAAAACTTGTAGTTCTTTAGAGTCAACTAACACTGCTAATGTCACCAGCACTTGATACAGCTGTAAACTGCAATCAATTAACGCCTACTGTTAGTTCACGTATGTCCGATAAGTTCGTAAAGCTGCTAGAAACACCCGTTAGCACTGCATACACGTAAAAAAAATAGTTTATAACTCCTTCCAGGATCCGTTAATTTATAACGTCTCGGTGCTTATGGCTGACCAACAGGGCTAGTTCAAAAACCCCGTTCAGTGTCCCCAAGGACAGAATTAAGGCGCTTTAACAGCTACCCCAGTCCCGTGTGCGGGGAATGATTGCTAGTAAGATAAAACATCGTTTTGAATATGAGATTTACAGAAATATCATGTTTATCCCAGAGGCGTTTCTTTGTTGGTGTTGTTGTTGTGTAAGAGACGCGTTTCGGGTTAAAGTGACGTAAATATCACATTTAACTCAGAGGCGTTTCAAGCTAAACTCACAGAAATATCAGTTTTATAACGGGTGTGCCGATTATCTCACAGAAATATCACTTTTGTTACAGGAGTGCCGGTTCCGAATGCTTCACCGACAGTTCATCCCCAGCCGAAGCAAGGCGTGGTTTGAGGCAGGCTGCGCTTCTACAGAAGAATGCAGACAACATGATAATTTCTACGCCCATTTCTGCTGCCGCATTAGCTATTGTAATTACCTCCCTGTGGGAAAATAGACTCATCGATCCATAATTGTAATCTGTTCAGGTTGAACGGGGTATCTCGGATCTGCTGCTATTGTATTAACACTCCACACGTGGTTTATTTGGCTGGCTATGATGTCAGACCTTCAGATTGCAGGTTCTGGGAAATAAAGACCAATCTGTCGTATCGTAAATAAAACTCCTTTCTTCCTACAGGGAGCGGGGCGGGGAATTAGCTGCTTTGCTTGAGAAAGATTTAGATTCACTTCCTTCCAGTAGAAGTTCTAGGAAAATAAATGTTATTGTTCGGGAATATATATGTATGTTTCGGTTCACAGCATGTTTATATTCCTGCGTTGAAAATAAAAGAACTTTGTTTCTATGTTGAAAAAAGTATATTTACCCCCCCCCCCCCCCCCCCCCCCACCCTCTATTTAGCAAGTAGTGCTCCATTTCATTATACAGAGTCATGGGAATAGCTATCCACATAAGACTGCAGGATTTAACCTGGCTGGTGTAGCATCTACGGGTGCTCTAATTGTAGCTACTTTGGGTGTTGTAGCAGCTACGTGTGCTCTAATTGCAGCTACTTTGGGAGTTGTAGCCGCTACGGGTGCTCTAATTGTAGCTGCTTTGGGTGTTGTAGCCGCTACGGGTGCTCTAATTGTAGCTGCTTTGGGGGTTGTAGCCGCTACAGGTGCTCTAATTGTAGCTGCTTTGGGCGTTGAACTGAGGATCATGCATCTGCCTTGTTTGTCTGCCGTCCAGGTTAAAATTATATGACCTTAGGGTGGCATGTTACATCTTTAGGTAGCAGACTGGAGGGGACAGACCGGCCGATCGAGGGAACACAGACTATGGCAGAACCATCTAAAGTCATGGTGTTTTTTGACACCATAGCATAAAGCCTAGTTATTAGTGTACTGAGCAAGGGCCTGAGCTCCACGTTCCGGCGCTAGTGTTCACTAACGAGTCATAAAAATTAGGGATCACGAATTGTGATTCCAGATTTAAAAAAACGCTTTATATCATTTAGAAGAAAGAATACACATTTTGTTCCTGGTTAAAGAACAACTGACGATGCTGGTATGGGAATCACATCCTGTGGCGATGGCAAGCACGAGTAGAAAGACCTGCTCGAGTTGAGAAAGGTTTCGGAGACGAAATAAAGCCAGGAAGGTTCCTATGCCTCGCACAAAGCCTGGACAGTAGTTTAAAGTCCAGGTGCTGCCCTGTCGCATTTTCCTACACTCGGCCTGCCTTGTTTAATTCACAGGAAAAGTAACGCCAATTCGTCTGGAACAAAACATACTGCTGGATCAGAAAAGCAGTGCTCTGTTCGGAGTGCATCTGCTGAGAGACAAGAAACCAGCAGTTTGAATACAAATGAGTCATATCTCTAAAACGGATGCACACGCAACACACAGGTTCTGGAACAGGACTGCAGTTCAGAAGTGTTTTCAGCTGGTGAACGCGAAGAAGAAGAGGACTTCCTTCCTAGGCCAGCCGCCAGCCCAGGTTTTAAGTACCTGGTCTCTCCTGCTATACCATAAAGTGTTTAGGTTGCATTGCCCCTTCAAAAAGGTTTGTCTCCATGTGGTTAAAATACACTTACTTTTATATGATGGTAACGTTTCCTAAGTTGTAAAGAACGTAGATTTAAATTTCTTCCCTTTCCTGCTTGGGTACTAGGACCCCATGTTTTAGAAGGAAAAATAGACCCCTTGACCCCCAAAACATGCATGTCTTGAGAAGAGATCAGATTATCTATAAGTTTGCTGAAATCAGATCTACTGGGTCAAAGGGCGCGGATATCACATCCTATCCGTAAACCGCAAGACAACATGCTGACAGTCCTGTTTTGGGTGACAGCAGAAGAAATAGAATAAGACCCTCTTTTCTCAAATATCTTTATTCATGATCTGTAACTTTAAACAAGTTAATGGGTTATCAGTCTTGAGTACTTTAAGATGAGCTTATGTTCTGCTGATTTCTCTAGTTTTCTTGTGAATATATGACACATTGTACACAGTTGCACGTAAATGTATGTTTTTACTGAATTATGAGGGTGCTTAAATATTATATGGAATATGTTCTAATGTTTGTCGGTATCCTACATGCTCGATGCGCCTAGAGGCTTGAAAGGGGTCTTTGCTTAACTTATGACGGTAAATCTTGGAATGTGAATGAATAAACTATGAAGAGATTTGGGCTGAAAAGCTATCGTTTCTGAGACAAATGTTGCGAAAACTTTGGACCGTAAGAGTAAATAACGATAGAAAGAGCATTAACAGTGGGGTATTTAACAGGGTTATAGGAAAGAGAAAAAGAGACGAAGCCCTTTTACACACTTTTGAGAACAGTCTTGTGACGAATCTTTTGGCCCTTCAGAGAAGCAAACAGTTAAAAATGGAGAGTTAGAAGCAACAAAGAAATCCAGAATCTTTTGGAATCAAATGCAATAGGGTGGAAGCGACCAAGACTACAGTACAGCAAATTAAAGATCTTAGATTTATTCTGGTTTGAAAATGGCCTAAAAGGCCACCGGAACAACTAATAGAGTTAGATGGAAGATGGGGAAAAATCTGGCCACTGAGGTATTTAAAGACCGGACTGACAGATTTTCGACCTATTTGACTTCCGGACCAACCTGTGGAAGCCTAACCTAGCTACTGATGCTTTGCACAATGGGCTGGTCGGCAGGTATGGTGACCACAGGTAACGTTCATGGTCTGACTGATTCCAGGCGGTGGTACGTTCAGTTGGTCAAAATAGACTTTCATTTGTAATCTTGCTAAGAGATAGTTAGATGGTAGATTGCTATATATTTCAGATTTTGTTCCAGCACGTTGTCTTTAATGTCGTTACTTGATGACCACGCTGATGTAATGTTAAATAAAAATGTTGTTCAACGTTGTATTCATAGTTACAATTGTTTCCTTCAGCTTAGGACTTGTAGTTAGTGTCCTTAGTTTAGTTTATTTTATTCGTTATTCGCCTGGGCTATATTAGACTTTACACAAAAGATTTCTTGCCTGGGTGAGATATACTGATCTCTCCCCCACCAAAACGAACTCTCTTTTTATTTATTTTCTTTCTTGGTACTAAAGGGCACCTCTGTTCTAGTACACAAAGAAAGCGGTGGCATACCTTCAAACACCAGGAGTTGCTAGCTGGAAAGAAAAGACCAGTCACAGATAGTCGTCACGAATTGTTCAGTTTAGGCCGAACCTACTGCTAGTGGGCCCTGTGCTCTTACCTCTTAAAATCCTACGATTTCACAGTAGAAAACCCAACCTGGTACAATAACCACAGCATCAGAGAAGCAATGTATTACTTTCAAAGATACAACGTGAATTGTGCTGATAAGCACAATATTTTGCCATATTTCTTTAGCTCACACAGACTAAACATGACAAATTCTAACACACATTGTGTTGCGGGGATCATCATCATCATGAAGCAGGTCCTTTGCAGAACGTCGCTCTCATCACAGTCTGTCTGAAAGAAATTCGGTCTCTCGCCAGTTCTCCTGCCTCATATACTTTCATACTCAAGGAGTCACTTATATCCTGTGCCCATCTTCGTGTCGGTCACCCCTGCCCCTCCTTCCTGGTACCATGCCTTCTGCTATAGCTTTGTCCAATCCGTTGTGGCGCTTGATATGACCAAAATATTTCAGCTTCCGAGAAAGGATGCTGTTTATTAGCCAATCTTTCTTGATGTTCAGATCTTTTAAGATGTCAATATTTCTCTTCTTCTTTGTCCAAGATATTCTGAGAATCTTTCTATAGCATTTCAGCTCAAAAGCCCCTATTCTCTTTCTTAAGGACTGAGAGATAGTCCACGACTCACATCCGTATGTAGCCACAGGGAAGATGCATGCTCTCAAAATTCTAATTGTTATCTCCTTGCTGGTGCTTAACCATAGACTTTTAATGGCTGTTCAATTTTTGCATTGCCAAGGCCATTTGCGGGGGGGGGGGGGGGGGGGGGGGGGATACACGTGGCTAATAGCTAATAACCACAACCTACTGGAGAACAGCAGTGCTAATAAGACACAGTGCGTTGGTTCGGACAGGAAGAGTTGAGCGTTCTGCCAACCATCGACATTTTAAGCTATAGAGAGTATTTACTAGGCGCCAGTGTCATTTTTAATCGTTATGTTAACAATCGAGGGTGTCGTGATCAATATCACCCTAGTCGCCTTTACTTCTCTCGACATCTTCTTTACCCAGTTGTAATCTGGGTCGACTTAGAATTTAGGGTCACTTTAAAAATGTACGAGATCTCTCCTCGATGGTGGGGAGTTGTAATACACACCGACGCCGTGGGGCGGGGGGGGGGGGGTGCAAGTCTATTTCTTTCGTCCTGCTACTGAAAACATGTGACACCATGAGATCAGTAGATCTCAATCTGGATGGCAGGCCAAGAGGACTTCAAGGTTTGACACCGTTAGACTAAAACAAAGTTAGTGCTGGTGGCGGACCAAATAGGCACGCCCAGACATCCCGTTGAGCAACAGCGCCCCCCCCCCCCCCCCGTCACCCGAAAAATAAAGTTACAATTAGGGCACGCATATTGGCCACATTAGCTTCGTGTAACCTGCAGTCCTGTGCAGGCAAGGATGTGTTGAGTTTTATGGTTTAAACAACGGATCACCATCAGGCACAAGAGTAGTAACCCATGAGTGCTCCGTTCTACTTCTAACTCAATCCTGAGTCCGAAGAATCTCAGCCCATTGCACGAACTCCTTAGCACCGGCGAGGATCCTGAAATGCTTTGGATAGATTTTTAACTCCAAATTTTGCCTGGGCAGCGCCTTTAGGCTACACTTTGCGATTTCTTACTTCCGAAGGGTTTTTTACGTGCTCAACAATACACACGGGAGTCCGATTTTACCACCCATAGACCTGGCGACATTACTAGAAGTCTACGAGAAAAGACCTAGCCTTCACTAAGGCCTGAAGACGGGGCCTCTAGCGGGCTCCATGCCTTGGGACCACTCAACATCAGACTCACAAGTTAGCTAC